AATGCCCCATGCCAGTCCATCTCATCTCTCCAATGCCTAATATGTCAATATCTACGCGTTCCATTTCTTTCTTAACAATTTCTAATTTTCCGACATTCATGGTTCTCACATTCCATGTTCCAATCACTAGGGTCTGCTTACAACTGTTCCTCTTCCTTTGTATTTCCATACTTGAAAGTTCTACCTAGGTTGCTCTGTTAGTCTACGTGTGTTCTGTCTGTTGTACATAGTGCATCCTAACTCAGTTGGGGTTCGAGGAGACAGGGTGATGAAATAGGCAGAGATCCATGGTGAGTGGTTGTATGAAATAGTTATATATGAATGTATAAAATAAGGTGTATATGAATGAAACAATAAAAAATCAAAAAAAGAGAAAGAAATCGTGCATTCTGCGGGCGGGGATGGGTAATGAACTCACCAGACAACAAACAAGAACATCAACAAGCATGTCATAGGCCACTATTAGATCTTCTCTCCAGACCTTCCACCCCTCCACAAGCGAAGAACCCTCCAGTTCCCTGTCCGAATGTCCCTAGCTGGGCTCTGGCTCTGCGCTCTGTCCTCCCAGCCGCCAGGTGCCCCCAGACCCCCAGCTCCACCTCCTCTTTTGTCACCGCCTTTTCCTCTCCCCTCGTTCCGCCGCTTCCTGTTCCCCGGATCCTGGCTGTGAGCTCTGAGCGCCCAGGCTGCTGCGGCTTCTTAGAGCTCTGAGCCAGGTAACTGCGCCTCGCGAATCACCCGGCTCGGCCGGCTCCTGCGAGCGGAGGGCTGGCGGGTGGGCAGCGGCCCGCCCTCCGCGCAGTGTTCTGGCCCACTGGTGGGGAAGGAGGCGGGGAGATGGTCTGGCCTGGCCTCTGAAGAGGAGGGGGCAGCCTTCTGCTTCTGGACGAGACGGGCTTTCCGCGCCAGGCTCCGAGCTCCCGGGCGGAAGCAGATAACGGTCCGGCTGCGGGCCGCTGATTCGGGCGTGGCCGGCCGTCCATAGGGCATGTCCCTGTGCAGATGCGGCCACACTACCTACTTGGCGCTCAAGGCTGCTGCTGGCTGCCAACTCCGCCTGCTCCCAGCCCTGCCCCAGGTGGGCCCGCCCAGAGTCCCTCCTCCCAAGTCTGGACCTGGGGAAGCGAAAACCGGAGTGTTGAGATTTTGAGCAGGAGTCACAATCTAAATACTCCTTGTACCCAAGGGAAAGCAGAACCCCAGAGATGGGAGTGACTTTCCCAAGGTCACAGAGTTATAGCTGTCATTTACAAATGTCTCTTATTTTATGTATGTGTTTGTAAGTGGGTTATTTACTAGTTCTCCTCTACCAGGGAATTAGGATTCAGAGAGAAGAGTGCTCTAAAAATACTAATCGGCGTCTCTAAATGAGCTGATCCGCATTACTGGCCGGCGGGCCTGGCCTTTAAAAGGAACATGGAAAGCCGCTTCTTTCATTCTTGATTACTTTGCATTTATGGCCTTGGCTTTGAAAATTAGTTTACGTTCATGTCAGAACTGGACTAAACCCCAGAGTTTATCAGTCCTCTTTTCTTTTTTAAAAAAACCAGGAGTCCAGAGTATAAAGTGACTTGCCTGCCCTCAAAGATATGGCACGTGTCCTGGCCATCTCTTCAGGGTCCCAGCCCCCGCCCCTCCTGAGCAGTTTTCCGTGCCAGCTATGAGAGACCATTCAGCAAATTAGAACTAATTCTTTACAATTAGCGAACTTCCGTTGGCCAAAGAAGACTATGATCTTGTTCTGAGTGACAAAAGAAAAGAAGAAAAAAATTACTTTGAGCACAGCAGACTAAATTTCATTAGTGCTGAGAAGGTGCCATTGTCATTGTATAGTGCTATGTGCTGAGTAAAAGATTAAGGAGCTGGTATTATGCTAAAGGGAGCTCTCTTGGCCTAGTGGCAAGAAGCTGTGCTGTAATGCTGAAGGCACACGATTCAAGGCCAACAGTAGCTCTGTGGAGAAGGCTGGACAATCTCATTCCTTGTTATTAACTGCCTCTGAATACCCGCCGGAGAGTCAGCTATAGATCGGCACTGACTCTAGGGTACACAGCAACAATTACGGTAAAGAGATCTGAAAGATGGATGTTAAATGTTGGTAGGGGCGCAATTTCATTGCTCGCCACTGGCATATTTTTTGTAGCTTCTGCACAGTGACGACTAGGCAAAGGCAGGGACAGGTTTAGAACTCAGGCTGGCACTACTTTCTTTAACAGATTTCAGCAGGAGGTTTTACAGAATTTGGGAGGGGCAAAGGGATATTGATCTGTTTCATTTGTCAGAATATAGCTATGCAGAGCATTCCTACTGAGGTGAGACAGTTGAAATGGTTTTGGGCTTTTCAAAATTTGTGCTTTCAGTAAAGGAACTGATTAATATTAATAACATCATGGTTATCTTTTGGTAGTTTGAATCCAGTAGCTGCTCAAAGGGAGACAGATGGGCAAATTCTTGCCAGGCAATTTGCAGCCTCTGAAAACCGGCTGGAGGGTTAGCTATGGTCAGTTCCAACTCCAGAGCAATGAGGTTTTTTTTTTTAAAAAAAGTTTGATAATCTTTACATTTTAGTCTAGAGTGTAAAGCAACTCAGTTATTTGTCTTGTCCTGATGTGCTTGGCAATTAGTAAAAATTCCAAAGCTTTTTGACTTGATTTAATTTTTCATTAAATAATTGCCTTTAAAATGTCTATCACAGCACAACTCTGTCCTTATACCTCAAAATCCGTTTGTTTCCTCCTTGGTAAATTGTTAACTGGATTTCAGAATCATCTTGTTTTGTTTTGTCCCCTTCCAGGGTGCCTGGAATATTTGTTTAGTTCTATAATACACAGGTTTATTCCAAGTTTCAGTTTTGACTCAAAAAGGTATGAGCCCAAACCAAGCCTCGGCTGAATGTTGTGTTATCTTTAAGCCACAATAAACTGCCCTGTGTCCTGTGTCCTCTCTCAGCACCCACAAGTGGTGGTGATCTGGCTTTGTTTCATGAGAGCTTTCTTGGTAGAACGCATTATCTAGCACATGTAGAATATTATTTATTGTTCAAGGTCAGTCATCACTGGAAGGTTATTGCTGATGTTTACTCATCATAACAACATGCTGTGTTGATCTATGAACTCAGAATGCGGTTCCTGGTTTGCAGGGTATCGGTTTCACTACTTGGCATGTTATCTCTGAGGAACATGGATGCAGAAATATAGATATTCTTGCATAGTAGGTTCTTGGCTCTGTAGATAAGGAAGAACCGTTCCAGTGAGGACTATGTGTTTGCACCATTCCATAGTAGCAATAAAGACATATGTACTATTTCTTAGGGCACATCCCTTCTTTTTCTGGTTTTGGTCTTTTCATCATAGGATGGCATTAGCTCTGTGTCTGCAGGTGCTGTGCAGCCTATGGGGCTGGCTCTCGCTCTACATTTCTTTCTGCCGCCTGAACAAGCACCGAAGCTATGAGTGGAGTTGCCGCCTGGTTACGTTCACCCATGGGGTCCTCTCCATAGGCCTCTCGGCTTATATTGGCTTCATTGACGGCCCTTGGCCTTTTACCCACCCAGGTAGGTGGAGGATCTTAAGGGTTTTTTCCCTCTTAGGGATTTGTGATATGGGGCAATCTTAGGAGGATGGGAAAATCCCTGAGTGGAAAATTATTAAGTACTGGGCTGCTAGCTAACTGAAAGGCTGGCCAGAGGAACCTTGGATAAAAGTTCTGGGCTTCTACTTAAGAAAAACTAGTCACTGAAAATTGTATGCAAGACAGCTCTGCTTTGAAACACGTGTGCTCACCATGCAGCAGAGTTGACTCCAAGGTAGTTGTGGGCAGAAAGATGTAACATTTTCATAGAATAATGCACATTATAGTCTGCACTGACCATCTTAATTTTTTTCCTCTATTATCTCTGATATTGTATATTTTACCTATTCCTGCTTTTAAAAAATTATTTCAGTAAAAAAATATATATCTATAATAAAACATATACCATCACACATGTACGATTCTGTAACATTTTTTACGTTCTTCAAGTTATGCAACCACCACACCATCCTTTTCCAGATCATTCTACCACCATAAACATAATAACTGCAGGGCCCTCTAAACAAAAACTATCTCTTCTCTCCTCTTTCCCACCACATAAGCCTCTATTTTTAAAACAAATTTTAAAATGGTTGTTACATTTTAATTAATTAGAAATGTGAAAAACAGAAAGCCAATATCTACCTCCCCAACCAGATACAAATAGAATTGTAATATATATGCTTTTTGATAACCTAGAATAAACAGATACAAATAGAACTGTAATACACATATGTTTTTATAATCTGCAATTTTACTGAAATTGATAATGTAGTAGGGAGGTCTGGTGGCCTAATGGTAAGAAGCTGCATTGCAATACCAAAGGCATGCAGCTCAAATCCACCAGCTGCTCCACAGAAGGATGGGCGGTCTCCTCCTCTGCATTTTACAGCCTCTGAAAACCTGCTAGAGGCTATAAATCAATTCTGACTTAGTGGCAATGAGTTTGAGGATTTTTTTAGTATATTCAATGAGCTTCCTTTCCTTGTCTGTAATTATCGTTGCTATGTCCTGTCAGGTTGATACTAACTTTGTGATTCCATGTAATAAAGTAGAACTGACCCTTGGCGTTTTCTTGGCTCTAGTTTTCTGGGAGCAGATCTCCACTAGGTGGGTCTGAACCACCAACCTTCTGGTTAGCAGCTGAGTACTTAACTGTGTTTTAATTGATAATGTTATTAAATTTACTATCATTTATTTAACCAGCGCCCTGTTATTTTGGATAACTTTTTTTTAATTTTTTTTTTTTTTTTTTGGTATGTGTACTGTCAAATTGGATCTGACTGGTGCAGGAGGAGATTGTCCCTCCTCTGGCAGAGCATCTGGTGGATTCAAACTGTATACCTCTGGGACTGCAGTATAGCTTTTTGCCACTAGGCTACCAGAGCTCCCCTATTTTTATTTTTAAACTGCTAAATATATATGTTACTCCCTTCTTATCCAAAAATTGTACCTTAGAATGTGATTTAAGGAAAAATTCCTTATTTTCTTTTCTATACATTTTCTTGGATCCTCATATCAGGCTTCAGTTTAACCCTCAACTGTCAAACTGAGATGAAAGCAACTCACAGGTTTTATATTATTTAATAAAAGATTTTTAATGGATCTAAACACCTGAGATGCTTGTACTCTATGTTATTGGACTCAAGAACACATGAACTTCTAGGGTACTCTGCCACTGTCCAATAATGTAATTCTTTAAGCTAAAAAACTAACATTCAAAACAGAATGACTAAAGGGTCTGGAAACAGACCTTTTGCTGATTCAAAACAAAGAAAAAAACAGCAGAGGGTTTTTATTGAAAGGACAAGATTATTTCATGCTGCTCCGTTGAGCAGATGCTGAAATGATTGCTTAAATCACTCATTGAGGTTTGAGTCATCAGAGCAGCATTTCTGGGGGCCTGCAGCATCATACAGTTAGGTAAACACCAAGGTTTTATGTTTTAGTCTGTCTTTGCCTGCCATTGCTTTTTATCTCCTATGATTCCTGAAGGGGTGAAAGATAACACAGGGGCTCTGTGCAAGGCAGTCCAAGTGCCAGTTCCTCAGTTTGCGTCTGTCTTGGTTCGTTCCAGGCTCGCCCAATACACCTCTTCAGGTACACGTTCTGTGTCTCACCCTGGGCTACTTCATCTTTGACCTGGGCTGGTGCATCTACTTCCGGTCGGAGGGTGCCCTGATGCTGGCTCACCACACACTGAGTATTCTGGGCATCATCATGGCCCTGGGCCTTGGAGAGTCAGGCACCGAGGTAAATGCAGTCCTCTTTGGAAGCGAGATTACCAACCCTTTGCTTCAGCTCCGCTGGTTTCTCCGTGAGACCGGACGATACCACACTTTCACGGGAGACGTGGTGGACTTCCTCTTTGTGGCTCTGTTCACTGGAGTGCGGATTGGCGTAGGAGCTCGCCTCCTATTCTGCGAAATGGTCTCACCCAAACCCAAGTGGTTTGTGAAAGTCGGAGGGGTAGCTATGTATGCTGTTTCTTGGTGTTTCATGTTTAGCATCTGGCGCTTCGCATGGAGAAAAAGCATCAAGAAGTACCGTGCCTGGAGAAGCAGGAGGAGTGAAGAAAGGCAGTTGAAGCATAATGAACTTGTCAAGTCCCACTAGCCAACGCTGGCTTCAGACGATGAATGAGGTTGTCAGCTATGGGAACCAGGTTGAAAATACGGACTGTTACAGACTCATGCTTGTAACAAAAGTAGGTTACCAAAAAAGGGCTAAATTAATTGATCAGTTTGCTTAGTCTTTGAGCTAAGCCTTTGCCAGTGTTAAAACCCTAACTTCTACAGTGGCCCAGTTGTAGAAGGTGACACTATTTAGTGGTAGCTGTTTACTCAGAATGTATGCACATTGCCGTATACATTTCACTCCTGAGAGACTTGATGTTCAGATAACTTAGAAAGGAAGTGGAGAAATGCAAGTGGTGTATTTTCCTTGTTCCTTTGAGAATGACCTTCAACTAACATTTCCTCACATTTTCCATGTGGTAATTGGAGAAAGCTTTTCTCCAAAATTCTTTTTTTTTTAAGCAAAGGATTTTGGGGAAGATGCATGCCTTTGGCATTCTAGCAGTGCCTCAGGGCAGCTAGCTTTGTCCTCTGCTTAAACATGGAGGCTAGATGCATGGGAGAAGGAGGAGATGGAACCGGCAGTGGTGATGGGGCACTGCTGAACTCTTCTATCATAATTTTATCAGTGGTCTCCAGAACCACACCCAGTTTCAGTCAATTGCTAGGAAGACCCATGAGACAGCATAGAGCTGTGCTCATTGCTGTGATTTGTTATGGCAAAAGGATGCAAAAGAAAGCCAGCAAAATCCCAGGGAACCAGCTTCTAGAGTCCTAGCCCAGGCACTCACACAGGATGTGCTTGCTTCCTCTAGCACTGAGCTGTGGCAATACATGTGAGGTGATGGAGTGGGGAGGTCACTCAGTGATCAGGGTATTTATTAGGGCTGATCGAGTAGGTGCCTCTCTGCCTGTCATGGACCAAAATTCCCACTCTCAGAAGGAAAGCAGGTGTTCTGCATAAACTCTGTTATCTGTGCAACATGTACAATAGTGTAAGCACAGTGAGCCACTTTGCCCCCGTTAGTGGGGGCAGTCCTCTTAAAATCTGAAGTTCCCAGATACTGGCCTAGAACCAACCTCGCAAGCAGGCCTGGAATCCATGGAGAGCAGGTCAGTCCTGGTATTTAACACTTTTTTCTTTCTTTCCTTTTCTTTACAAAAACTACATAGCGAGGGCTTTGGATATGACTGACTCTGGTATGGGTAGATTTACTGAGTCCTGTTGTACGGGTTCTGCCCTACCAGGAAAACCGTATTTTACTTTTGAAGGCTTTTGTGCATTAATCTCCTTGACATGAGAGGCTATGACTAAATTCCATAGGGATTTACTCCATGGAGCCCACTGTGCTTGAGACGGCGGTTTAGGTTTCAGCTCTGCTGTCCATACTGCCAACGAGAACCAAAGACTTAAAAGGATATGTGTGTGCTGGCTTCAGGGTGACGAAGCCGATTTTTGTTGTTGCTGTACCTTTCAGAATTATCTCATTTAATTCTCTCTTTGCTGCTGCTGCTTCCTCTAATTGGTGCCACTCTCTACAAAGCATTATGACAAGGCCAGTCCTGGAAGAAAAGAAAAAAAAATGAGTATTTCTTAGTGCAAAATTCTCTAACATTGTAATTCTGAAGGCATATAGTTTGAATCCACCAGGTGCTCCACTGGAGAAGGAGGGGCAATCTCCTCCTGTGCCAGTTGCATCTGACTTGACAGCACACAACCACCACACAAAACAACCCAACCTAACAAACAAACACCCAAAAATCTTTGACCTCACCCATGAGGAACAAAGCATAAATTTAAATTAGGAAGTTAGGAATTAAGAATTCCTGGATTATACACTAATTTTGCTACTCACTTGCCAGATTACCTACACGTAGGTCGCTTGTTTACTTGTTGCCTGAGTTTAAACCTGCTGTGGAGGAATGAAATAATGGCACTGTGTGCTTCATAGGGATATAGTGGGATTTTACTAACAGTCCTTAATGGACGGAAAAGGGACGTTTTATTTATTTATTTATTGTATATTTATTTATTTATTTAACTCTTTTACTTATATCAGCAGGGACCGGCTCAATTCAGGAGCAAGTGTGTGGTGCTACTAAAGTCAAGGCTGGAGGTCAGAAGTGTCAGTCCATTCCAGGGTCACTGGTATTACTCAGGTGATGTTTGTTGTGTGCCATCAAGTCTGAGCCAACTCACAGCCAGACTTCCAGTGGGTTTTCAGAGGCTGTAAATGGCACCAGAGGAGAATGACCATCTTTCTCCTGTGGAGCAGATGGTAGATTTGAACTGCCTGCTTTTGTAAAGCAGTGTAAGTCCTTACCCACTAGGCTACAGAGAGCCAGTTAGCTTAATGAATGGTCTTGAAAGTGGATGTCATTCACCACAGAAACCAAGCATGAGGGAGTGATTGGAACCACATGAAGTGATCTGTACTTTGGGAAAAGTAAAGGCATGTGAACAGTGGCTCTTTGTACTGTCTAACCAAATACTGCCATTTGGTTAGAGTTGTACTGGGCTTTGAAATAATATGACAACTTCTCAACTCCTCCTTTTCCCCTCTGGTGATCAAACAGAAAAGAGAGAGAGAAAAGCAAAAATGCTATTGCCATCAAGTTAATTCTGACTCACAGGGACCTTACAGGACATAGCCAAACTGCCCCATAAGGTTTTCGAGGTGGTCGTCTTTGCTGAGGCAGAGTGGCACATCTTTCTCCTGTGGAGCAGAGAGGCTGGTGGGTTCAAATCACTGACCATTCAATTGAAGGCTTAACCAGGTTGCCCCCAGCTTCCTCCTTCTAAGATCAGTGTCCTAAAATACTGGTGAATTACTTTCCAACAAAAGTGTGGTTGAAGTAGGATGCTGGGAATGCTGATTTTTAGCAAAAGACTAGTTTAAAAAAAAAAAAAAAGCATTGCTTGGCACACGAGCTTTTACAAAAAAGAAAGAAGTGAAAAAAGCTGGCTCTTGAATTCTGGCACAGTGCAACCTGTTCCATACCAGACAAATGAATAGGCTTAATCTTGTACCCGTTCTTTTCTCCCGACTCCTTAAAAGTGAATGGTTCACAGAACTTGCCATTTTGGGGACACTCAAGAATTATGTATTTTGGGATTTTTTTTTTGTTTTGTTTTTTTGTTTTTTTACACTAGCAAGAAACCTTGGTAACTAGTAAGGGAAAGGAAATTCCTTATTTCAGCTTTATTTGATGTTATGGCTAATAACTATGAAGAAACCTCTCTGAGAGAAAATGTGACGTGAGGATGACTCAGCAGTTAAGATGCTGAGTTTTTACATCCCGGGTAAATGAAGGGCTAATTAACCTGTGGTATGAACCAGCAAAATGAAATCCTCATTTGCATTTGGATTACTATGTAATAATTATTAACACTGCCCAAGAAGGATTTATATATAACGTTTGTACTCAGTTTTATAAAAATAAACAACTTTATATCAATCAGCACAGTGTCTATATTTTTTATTGTGGTTTTGACAAATTAAAAAAAAAATTTAAAAAGGCCTTTTGCCCTGAATAAATGTTGAACCATACTCATGCTCATCAGGGAAATGCTTATCTGCTGTTATCATTAGATAACATTACAAACTATTATTTATTTCTGGGGTAGCAATCAAAATACAGAAAGCAGTTTGCAAAAAAAGGACAAACCCCCCCTAAACCTACTGGGGTGGTGTCAATGCTGACTCATAGTGACCTCCAGGGCAGCTCTGAATGGCCCTGTTGTGATTTGAGTGAAAGTTTAAAGAGAAAATTGATTTTCCATCCAGCCATTCATACACATTATGTTTCGTGACACTGCGGTGCAGGGCTCACATTGCAATTTCACTTCCCACTTCCTCCTTGTGTTTCAAGTTTCTATTTGTCCCTTTCTATACCTCTCTGCCTTCTATCTTTGGACAAATGCTGCCCTTTTGATCTTATCTAAGGAGAGTTTGTGCCTTTATAGTGTTACTGGTCACTTTTTAGGGTTACTTGCCTTGAAATTGACATGGATGACTTCAGTTCCAAGCTTGAAGAGTGACTAAGTGCCACACTGTCAGGGGTTCCCCCAGTCTCTTTCAGGCTTACAGTAAGCTTGGTTGGTTTTTGGGGTTTTTTTTTGTCTTTTTGTTTTATAGTATGATTTTGAATTGTCTATGTTTTTTTCTCCTCATCAGGATTGTTACTCTTTTCAGAATGGTCAGCAGTGGTAGCCTGGCACCATCTAATTCTGGTTACTGAGGATTATGGAGACTGAAGTTCATATGCTCCATTAGTCCTTAGGACTAACAAGTCTTTGATTTTCTTCATTCTTCTTTGCTTCAGAGAAACCAACAGCTGTACCTTACATGGCTATTTGCAAGCTTTTTGATGCAGAAGATTTGGTGGCATAGTGACAAGGAGTTGTGCTGCCAACCCAAAGGCATATAGTTCAAATCCACCAGCTGCTCTGTGGGAGCAAGATGGGCAATCTTTTCAACTTCTGTAAACCCATTGGAGGGCCAGCTATGAGTCAGTCCCAACTCAGCATGTAATGACAACAACTCATCAAAGTAAGATACAGAATATTGTGTTTGCAGACTATGTTATAACAGCCATAAATCTTTATGGATACAGACTGCTACAAAATTTCCTGTGAAGTGGTTGTTAAATTTGTCCCCTGACCTTTGGGCTAACTGCTGAGTACTTAACCCATGGTGCCACCAGAGCACACTTGCCAAAAGAGGAGAACTTAATTTTTGGTTCTGTGTTGGCAACTGCCTTGAAAAGAATAGGAAATAAGCTCCATGAAGCCAAAACTTTTTTTTTTAAATAAAATTTTTCTTAAATACTGGTTTACTTACAAAGTGTATATGTATTGTTTTTCACACAGTCAAAAACTCTGACTGTTCAGAACCATACTTCTGGTGTCTAAATCTGTTAAGGAGAGTGTTGTTAGCCACCACTGAGTTGGCTCCAATTCATGGACTGTGACAGCAGAGAAAAATGCTTCCTGGTCCTCTACCATTCCCATGGTCAGATGTGAATTGGGCTGCTGTG